GTTCATAGTCGGGGCGACTGGAATTCAATATGTTAAATATACGTCTGTTAATAGATGTGGGAATTTGTTTAGGATTTACCGTTGACTTAGAGCAGTTGATTGTTTGCGTTGTTTGTAAGACTTGAAGGATCCATTGAGATCAAATGCCTGGCAGATGGATATTATGTTCTTCTTCATCTTATCGCATCGCATTGATGGTGGCATCATCTCGGCTGAGACATATTTGTTTTGCCAAGTTTTAGGGTAAGTAAGCGTAACTTCCCACAATAATGTCAAACATGTCTGAATTTCTCTTGCTCCATGCTGAGTAAATAATAATACCTGCGTCGTCTTCAGAGATTATGGTGTGCTTTCGTGCGTGCTAGATTGCATCAGTTAACAATGTTTGTGATAGATGATTAGAGTTCCACAATGTTAAAAGAGATGAACGTTTTGATTTCTGCAGGATGGGGTTTAATCATCCTGTGACAGAAATGTTTTCAATTTGTTTATTTGTGTCTTTGTGAGCAGGTCATGGTTTATCTGGTCGAGAATGGTCTTGCCTATGATTTTTTATGGGTTCACGAGTCTACAGTTTGGCTTATATAATACGTTTTCGTTATGGTCTTTGAATGTTATGAAAGCATTTGTTAGCAATGATTTCCATTTGGTTCCAATTTCAAGCTTTGTAGCAATTGATTTGGCCGCGTTGTTAATTTCGTGAGTGCTGACTTCTTTTCTCTTCTTGTATGACGTAGTGAATCTGTTCTCGTGTATGACTTGATCGCACTACCCCTAGTTAATTTGTAGAGGTTTGTTGTTTTATCGGTGATGTTGGGTTAGTTTATTTACTTTGCTGATGATATTTATGATCTTTGAGCGTGAGGAAACCTTTTTTCAGCAATGTTTCCCATGATTTTTAAATTGCTACCATAAGCTTTCCTAGTTTTCCTTCAGCTGCATTCTGTGTGAGCGCTTCAGTCATTTAAAAGAAAGTGTCTGGGGGATAGATATTACAATTATTTAAGTTAAACCCTTATTTTCACAGATTGTACGTAAAGGGCGTAGGTGGAGCAAAAGAAGAGACAAAAGGGCGAGTGGGAAAATGAATAGTAATCATGTTATTTGTAGGATGAAAATGTATATTACCGTTTCTCGAACATGCTCCATCGATGATCCTGACGTCATCTAAAGCAATATCACCTTTATCACTACCTCCTACAATTCCTTCAAACACTATCTGGAAGGCACTCTTTGTTTCAACAGAAATTTTTCCAAGTCGCCAAATGTTTCCTTGATCGTTTCTATTTCCCCACGAAGGTGCACCAATAGTACCGTCTGTATTGACTATATACACATTCAATGTGTTCACTGTAGCCCCGTACATGTGGTAAAACCATTTGACGCATGTGCCGTTTGTTGCAGGATATGATGGTGTCCAAAGACGAGCGGTTTCGTTGTTGTATTGCGGATATGAAGTTTCGATGTACATGTAGGAACCTGTAGGCAAATGATAAAATAAATGTTTTGGTTTAAGAGATAATTGTTGTTATATTTCTTTGTAGTTTATTTTATTTATTTCGTTTGTAGTTTTAGGAATATTTTCATTAGGAATTTACAATTTCATTTAGGAAATTTAAATTCATGTCAGATTTTTAATACCTTGTAATGTTCCATAGGTGTGGTCATATGAAGGGCCAGTACCAGATGTCGGTGTTGGTCCAGATGTTCTTATCCAATCAAAATCATCTAGTTCATCTTGATTAAAGTAACAAATGTATGGATCCTCGAAATCACATTTGGTTTGCGCTACAAATTATACAAGAAAAAAAAAATAACTGCTGTTGTCGCAATTTTTGAAATAACTTAAATAATAATATTAATTTTTAACTTTATTAGTAAAAATCGTTAACACTTCCCTCCGCCAAAAAAAAAAAAAAAAAAAAAAAAAAAATTACAATGAGTTTCATCATTTATATCTACAGAATTCGGTATGAATTTTTAAAATAATAATTAAAAAAAACACATACTTTAGAAATCTCGCTTTGATATAAAGTCGAACTGACCTTTAACATCGTTCCAATGTTAATGGTAAACTACACAACTTCTTTGATTTGACATTTAAAATAATATACTACATTATTAGCTTCTTATTACTAGCATTATATGTGTAATTATTATTTTATCTGTGTCCAACAACACTTACTTGCGGCAAGTTGTATCAGTTTTTGAATACCTTTTAGGATTTTTTTAAATTTTAGATTATGATTACTTAAATTGTTTTGTATTAGTGAGATTAGAGAGACTTGATAAATGTCTTCCAACTCTGCTACGAGTATCACTTGTCAGTGCAAACTAGAATATTGCATATTTTCAGTGTTTGAAAATAAATACCATATAAGTTTAATTTCAATTTCAATACATCCTGCTTGCTAGAGAAGTATAAGTATTGTTTCTCTGTCATATCAATTCCCATTTTTGAATAGCTCTATGGCTTTTTATATTCAAGGCTTAATAGCATGCGATAACATTAAACTACCTCGGAGTTGCTTTAAACTTTTATATAAGAAAATTACCATGGTTCAGTAAAGCGATCAATAGGATCCTATGTGATGCTACTAAGAATAATATTTTGGTATGTGAATTAATTAAAATTGTTAGTCTAATGCACTTTTTTTAACGATCTGTTTTCTTTATTTGCTTCATAAAGTGGAGCTATTACTGCTTCACCAATGCATTCAATATATTGATGCTTTTAAAAAGACGTTTGGTCAATATTTGATTATTTTTTTACCTAAAACAACTGCACGATTATTCATTTTAAGAGTGTCTGTAAAAATCAAAGAAATTTCAAAAATAGTGGCAGACTAAAAAAAATGGATTTCTTTCAAATTTTGCACATGGCTATACTTTTGTTAAGAGAAATCAAATATGAACTTTTATTCACTTTGTGCGTATATTTGCATGGCAACGGGTAAATTTGTATTTTTGGCAATTTTTGTCATTTTGGCTGTTTTTAAATGTTAATATTAGTAATAATTTGATACATTATTTCTGATATCCTTATAGTGTATTTATCAAAAATAATAGGTGTTTGTATAAGGTCAGTACATTGGGTATCTGTTGCATATTTTTAAATTTTTTTTTATTTCTTAGTTGGGAGATACCATGTTTTTAAAAAGGGGTGTTTTTCTTTTTTTTCCCCAAATTATGGAAAGCTTCCAAACTTTAATTGCTCATAAACCTCAAAGTGGTGCTTTTTTAGAACTGATTTTCTATAAATAGGTATTTCTAATGCTGCCTTAGAGAATACCAGTTTAAAAATGTGGGTAATTAAAGCCCCATTCCCGGCAAAATTTTACTAAAAACTGACTTTTTTTTTTTAAATATTCATTTGCATTACTCCAATTATTATAAATCATGGAAAAATATTGGCATGAATTTTAGACATATTTGTTTTGCCAAGTTTTAGGGTAAGTAAGCGTAACTTCCCACAATAATGTCAAACATGTCTGAATTTCTCTTGCTCCATGCTGAGTAAATAATATTACCATTTTCTCGACGAATTCATCGTTACTAGGCAAATTCAGAGGTTGTAGATCGCATCCACTGGAATACTCTCGCTTTTATGTATACTTTTATACAGTCAATAAAGTACGCCCTCTCTAATGAGATTAGTTTTTGTACTTCGTATCTCGCACTCTGAGATATGTTTGTTTAAGTGTCAAAATCTCAGTCAGAGTCTGTTTTTTAACAAATTTGAAATAATTCCTATGAAATATTATATTTCACAAAGTGTCAATACTAGCAACGGAAAATATCATGTCGGCCGTTTTTATGTGTGACAGAACCTAAATCGAGGTAAGGCTAGGCCTAGCCTAGCAGCGCTGGATAGGCTAATGTTTTCGGCGCCTTCGATATTTCTTCTCACGACCTATCGCAAAATAAAAATGAAAAATTCATCCGCATCAAAGTTCAGTCTTATTTTACATTTTTTTCATTCTTAGGAATGTCTAAATTCAGTTAAACTAGCAATTCCGTATTATATTTATAAATCTTTATAACATTATACAAAAATTAGATTTTTCTTAAAAACTGAAATTTTGCCGGGAATGGGGCTTTAAAAAACGTACGAGCAGTGTTGCCAGAAAAACTGGCATTTTTCATTAAAAAAAAATATAATAGTAAAATTTACAAAACAATGTTTGTGGTATCAATGTTGTCATTTTTTTTGTTTTAGCGGTATTTTAAACCTTTTTAAGGTGAGTTTATAATAATTTTACTTTATACATACCAATGTTTGTCAGTGGTGTCACCAGTTGGACACAGCACCTTAACCTGCCTGGGAATGCCAGTCCCTGAATAACACCCTCTCCTCCCTAACCACATCATGCAACACCCCTACCCCTTCTTGTCGGAACAAGTCAGAATTTATCGTGGAAAAATATAAACCTAATAATATGTGGTCATGGTAGGGGTGGTGCCAGGATTCGCCCGACAAGAAGCCCTATGTCCCAGATGGTGGTCCGATTACAGCATTCAGAGAATATTGAACAGATTTTTTTTGGAAAATGAATATCTTGGCACATTTTTGTTACATTGCGGTGTTCAAAACACAAGCCCAGAACAGCGATAATGAAAGATGTAGTTTCGTGGCTGAAGAATGTGCTTCCTAAGCTTACATCTGTATATTTAAGACACAACAATGCTGGCTGCTACCACTGTACAACTACACTACTTGCAACAAAATAAATTGCTGAAAAGACGAGGGTAAATGTGCAAACGAAGTTTATGTCATTGAAGATGCTTTTAAAATGAAACATGCTTTAGAATCAGATAGACAGTAACAGATTGTTTCTACCTTCTCAAATGTTGCAACATATGAAGAACTGCAAGAGGAATGGTATAAGCCTTTTTAATAATTTTGAATTTACAACTACAGGCAGGTGCGGATCCAGAGATGTTCAAAAGGGGAGGGGGCCGAAAGTTGGGCTGATTGAGACAACACTGTCCTAGAGGGTATGCCCCGCGAAATTGTTGTATTCTAGACGGCCAAAAATACCATTTTAGGTGTCTGGGCTATCATTTTTTTTCTTTTTTTTCTTTCTTTTATCTCCCAAAAGGGGGAAGGGGGCCGGGCCGCCTCCACTAAATCCGATGGTTTTAAAATGAAACATGCTTTAGAATCAGATAGACGGTAAAATGTTGTTCCTACCTTCTCAAATTTTGCAACATTAAGAACTGCAACTGGGATGGTATAAGCCCTATTAATAATTTTGAAAAATACCATTTGAGGTGTCTGGTCTATAATTTTTTCCTTTTTTTTCTTTCTTTTACCTCCCAAAAGGAGGAGGGGGAGCGGTGGGGGCAGGCCTGCCCCTCCCCCTAAATCCGCCCCTGACCGAAGTTTGAGTATGGAGGGCGTATGACATTTTACCTGGTTCAGAAAGTGGAAAACAAATTTCAAAGATACCATAGTGTCTTTTGGCGTGCATGAACCACCAAAATACAATGGAATTTTTAAAGAAATGATCACTGCGAAGGTGTCTGATCAACCAGTTCGCCAACATCTACCAGTCTGTTCACAAGGCCAACTTAGAAATGAAGGATACTTTTAATAATCATTTGTTTTTCTGTCCCGAAGATGGATTTGTAAAGTCTTCATTCGGAATTATAGTAGGTATATTACCACTATTTGTGTAGCCCCTCATGAGTTTCATGCCCTGCCAGACTTTTTTCATATTGTTTGACTTAAAGTTTTGTTCGACTTTTTTCCTAAATATATTCTTCTGTTTCTTAATTTCAGATTTAATCTCACTAGTCAGTCTTTTCATACGATTGGTATCACCCAACTTAAATGCTTGCCGTTTCTCACACAAAAGTAATTTGACGGCTTTTGTTATC